GTTCTTAATGAATCAACATTGTTTATTCGAAGAAATTTGGTGGGGAGTGGATGAAAACACCTGGAGGTGGAGCTGGACCCTATGGAATGCAAGCCCCTTCCCCCTTACACTGCAGGCTCTAAACCTTTTTWWTTTTWWTTTTTTTAACACCATATTCCGATTCTGTGAGCTGGACGTTATCTGTTTGTCCACTTGGGGAGGAGTTCAAAGGGYTGGCAGCTGTTCTGAGGCCAAAAGGTGTCTGTGTGTAAATTTGGGATGTTCTCACTTCCAGCTAACGCAGATATAGGAATGGGTGCTGAGTTTGAATGCTGCTATTTAAATTCTAAAAGAAGCAGTCAGAACAAATTTGAGCTGTCAGGYTCTGTCATGCTCTCCTTTGGTCAGGATTATGATGAGGTATTTTTTAAATGGAATAATGCTTCCRTGTGCATGAGCTAAAAATCTTGTTACACAATAAATATCCCTTCTTCCACGTTCTCTGTAATGTGTTACTTTTTCTTGAAGAGGTACTGTGTAGAGTTAGAACTCAGTAATTCTCCATGGGCTTTAAAAAAACCCCCACACCTTTTTATTGTGGTGATTGTACTAGAACAGAGCTGCTTCTCTCTCCCTTAGTCAGTCAGATGAATATGGCTCTGGGGGAARGAGGCTTCCATTGCTCTACTCCCATAAATACAGGGAATGAATATTGTCCCTCTGTACAAACTGGAGAGAAAGCATTYAAACATCTGCCTTAACTGCAGCTATCATTAAGTGAATTAAACTAAAAGTTTGATTCATAATTGGTATTTCTATTACCACAAAGTACAGCCGTTTTCTTTTCAAATACATTAAACCATAAGAAGCTGCTTTATACCAGCTAAAGCTCCATAATACATTTGTGTTATTGGAAGCATAATTCACAGAGTGTTAATAAAACCTTACCAGCTTCCAGTTTAAATCTTTGTACGGTGATTTAACACCCTTCTTATTCTTTATGTGACATTTTCATTATAATTAAACATGAACGTGCCCTCACAGACTGTGCCCACAAGTCCTGTGAGCACAGGAGAGGCAGCAATAGTCCTGTTGATTGTGGATGCTGTAATAAGATTGTGTCCAGGAATTAGACYTTCATATCCAGAATTGCTCTGAATAGATCAAAAAAATGTCACTCTTAAGTAATGGAAATAGAGTACATTATTGGTTGTGCTATGAATGCTAATTATGTCATTTTTCTTGCAGATATTACAAGTTTCTCATTTTATATTAGGCTACTTCATGACATGTAATTGTCTTCTACTGTTAAATCTAAGCAGTTCTATTATTAGCATGAGAAAAGACCTGAATTGCTAGAGACTGCATTTAGATGTGTAAATTTCTATTTTGCTGTTTCCTGTGTGATTATTTTATGTTTGTTTCTATTACAAATCGTGTGTTGGATGGAATATTTCGGCTGAGCTACTGACTAGTATATAATTTATGAAATCTGGTTGTAGAGGCAAAATAAGTTGAAAGTAAGTCTAAGAGTAATTTTTCACTTTCAATTAATTGCCAGAAKTTCAGTGCATAATGCAGAGGGGTGTTACTAGATCTAATGTAATCATAAAGAAGGAAGCTTTGAAATTGTTTGGGTTTTACCTGYTTTCTTTCCGGATGAGTGAGACCTTGCAATAACCTTAGCTCTTGTGATAATAGCAAGCTATGGCTATTTTAACATAAAATTCCCACTGAAAATAGAACACATCAGATGATTCACTCAGGTCAAAATGACAAACTTTCATRAAATGTTGTCCCTTGTCTTCATTAGCCATAATTATTGCTGTCAGTTAAACTTTGGGAAAAATACTACATGTCTTCCTTTCATTTYAAAGATAAAGGATAAAAATGACTCTGTAGAAACAATTTTAAGTTCATGTTRGAGATACAGTAATATTTTTGACAGATTGCTATGAAGTCTTGTGCACTCTCAGATCTCAAAAAAGTACAAGGTCAAAAATATTGTTTGTGATGACCTATATATTTTAACAGAAATATTGTCAAAAGAAATTATAATCAGGTTTTGACACTTGTCCTGAAAGTGTCAAGGCTTCCATAAAATATAACACCTCAGAAACATCAGGCAAAAAGTCATAAGTRTAATATTCATGCAATAACTCTGTAAGGTATAGATCATCTTGCAGTGCTCGGTTTTAGGATCAGGACAATAATATGAGAAAGAAGGATCAGCCCCTTAACAACCTTTGCTATGAATTTCATGAGATGTTCCTGAAAAAAAAAAAATAAAGGGAGGCAGGGTGGAAATCCCTAACCAAACAAAAAAGTCCCAAAAAATATTTCTGGCCATCAGTGTGACACAAGAGGGATTTTACTAACAGTAGAAATTAAGGCTAGAGGGAACCTCAAACACAAAAACTACACTTGATGCTCTTTTCCTGCAGCAGAAGGAGGCCTCAGTGAAGAAAGTGTCCAACACTACCAAGCTGTAACAGCTCTAAGCACAGAGCTGGAAGCAGGATATCAAGCTAAGGTGAAAGCTGTGTCAAAAACTGAAGATGAAGAGAGCACATGGCTTCTGAAGAATTGTGTTWAGAGCCAGAGAAACAGAATCATTAAGAATATGTCCAACTCAAGGTGTGAAGGTGAAGTAGATTTAAATAGTTACCAAGTATTTTTCTAGGTTCAATTATGTCTCTGGGCCTTTGGGAAAGTTAAGAGATCTAGCATGGTCCAAAAGTGTCTGAAAGAACAGGGGCAGGCACAAGACCATCCTTTAGCACCTTTGGTGTCACTGTGGAATGGCCAGAAGTATTGAAATAGAGGTGATGATGCTGAGGAAGGAGGGATAGGAGCAGCACCCAGGCAAAGGCAGCTCTGTAACCCCTGCAATGCTGTGCACAGAGGGGAGATCAGCTCAGATTAAACAGGAGGTTCTGCCTGTGTTCTCTGCTGCAGAGGAGTTTGTCAGTGCACCCTGGGGCACCAGATGGATGGTCTGCTCAGGAGCCATAGGAAACACTATGGTGAAGTCAGTGCTGAGGGCAGATAAATGATTACAACCCTCGTTAGGGGCATCCCAGTCCAATGAGGAGATAAGGGACTCCCAAAAGAAGTCAGGGCTAGGGGTAGATACACTGCACAGGCAGAGAACTTTCTGGAACAGAGGAAAACCTAGCAACATGTTTCACTATATACCTTCTTTGGCATTTGTCAAGTATGTTTTGCTACGATGGATGGACTCTTTGAAGATGAGGAGGTGGTGTGGAAAGGGCATTTCTAGTAAATTTAAGAGACAACAAAAAATGTGTGCTACATGTAAGAATATAAAATGCATGGTATGATGATGACGGTGTATCCACAGGCTGGTTATGTACTAATAGATTCCATCCCAAACAAGTGGAAAAAGACACAACCCCCTCTCTTAAAACTTACAAAAGGGAAGATACTTTATTTCCAGAGCTCAGTCAATAGAGCATATTTTGTCTTTATGTCTCAGTTCATAAAGACTTCATCTAGCTCTCACTGAAAATATTTGCTAGAAATCAAGGATGAATTATTTGCTTAGCACACTGACAGGGGAGAAAACGGCTTTATATATCCTTTTTTTTGCCCCCTTCAGCTAGAGTTTGGTTGGGGATTCCTTATTTCAAAGTGAATTTACTTGTGCTAAACCCCAAAATACGTATTATAGCTTTCTACATCGAAATAAAACTACATTTTTTTAGAATTTGTTTTGCGTACTTTCCAACAGCTGAGGGCAAAATGCTACCTTACACATATTTGAATAGAAAATTCAGGGGATAGACTAAAATCCAGCTTATTGTTTGAAGGGAAGTTGCTCTGGTGTTACTAAAACCTCCAAAGTAAACAGCTCCTTTTCACTTTTTTAGAAGTGTAAGATTTTTTTCCTGCCTCTGAAACATGTACTTTCATTAAAGAAAAGRTAATTGACAATAAAAGCAGAAGAAGAGTGCACATTCTGATCTTAAATGCTACGTAAGTGACATAATATCAGAAGAAAACTGCATTGCCTACTTAGTAGGCTCAAAGCTGCTCTTATTTTCTATCAAACAAGATTTTCCAAAATCACTTTAGAGCTTATAAGCAGTATGGAGGCTTRATTGTTTCCTTATGCTCCATTCTGYACATATRCTAAACAATAAAAATCAATTAGCTATAGGTGTGCCAGACTGATTCTTAATGTGAAATACCTGCTGTGTCTTAATTTTTGCCTTGAACAGGTATTTTCACAGAGCTAACTCACAATATCTTACAGTCTCAGTATAATCCCAACTAAACATTTTGATATTTAGTCCCATGACTGCCTCTTTGAGCTCTTTTGCCAAGGGGTTCCTTCATAACCTGTCAGGGAATATGACATGTACCTGGACATGTGCAGATGCCAGTGTGAGACAAGTCATGTGGAATGCCTGAAGGATGTAATAAATATTGCATACAATGCAAATTCTGTTGACAGAGATATCCGAGGGAGGGTGAAATTCCTATCTTGCTGTTTGAAGGACTTTGTATGGAAATGAATCACTGGTGGTGCTCTAGGAATTGCCATYTTGCATCAGAACATCAACTTTGATTTCTTGCCCTCAGCAATGCCTACTGTTTCATAATCTGGTTATCCAGAGAATGAAGGACTACCCTTCTACGAATATGCCAATCTAAGTCACTCAGAAAACAGCTATATTTGTTGAGGGATRAGGGGTAGGCTCCTTGTTGATTTTTTTTCTTTTGCAAGTCATAGCCTTCTTCTCTGAAAGATGAGAGTGCATCCTCAAAATGCATGCACATTGACAGAGCYATAACAGGTCTAATTACTGCACTTTAAAACAAGCAAAGAAATTCCGCAAATATTTTGTGCCCCGCTTCTTTAACTGCAATTGGTAGAACTTCTTA